CACACTCTTGAGGTCCACTCATAAATTAAGTCTCTTGTAGGCTTACCAGAAATCGCTACCTAACTGGGATTACTAATTGGATCAAACCTCCCTAATTCACAGTTACAGGCATTCTGTTTTAGGGGAAGGTTTGAATTATACATTATTAAAATGCAAATTAATTCTTTCCTACAACAATGCAGACCGCCCTGGGAATTGTAGTGAAACTTCGCTTAGGGATATTTCTACCTTGTATTGGGCTTTTACAAAATGGAAAAACTTAAGTAAAACATCAAGGCAGTTAAGCAAGTCTTAATAAAAATAAGTCAGAAACCAAAATCGTATCTTAAATACAATAAAAGTGTTCATGTTTACTATGGAGTCATCTAGTTGCCATACTTTTTAAATGTCCAATTCTGACAGAAGTCATTAAAAACAAGACTTTGTGAGCCAGAAGGGACCTTCTGCTCAGTGGTTGAGTCCAAGGGACAGCCGAACTCCCAGTTGCTAACAATTCATGAAGACAAGCAGAGCTTTCAACACCATGAGATTTAATCAGCCACAAAACAGAATTGTTGGGGCTGAATGGTTGCGGCCATAAAACAATGTTCTGTGAGGCAGACATCTGTAGGAGGGTTGCCAGTTCAAGTCTAGAGACCCCCTGAGTAAGTCACGCATATCTGCCCATGATCCAGGGCTAGCTGAAGCTCGGGATGGACTGTGGTACCAAAACACTGTTGCAGGTGCTCTGTCTCTCTCTCTCATAGAACAAATGCAACTTTTAAAGAAATGGAAGTACTGAGAACATCCCTCTGCGCTTTCCACTACAACTAATCAATAACACTTCTATTAGATCACTTGTTCTTTTTTAAAAATTTTTTAATTTTTTTATTTCTGGAGAAGTTTTTGCTATAGGGCGCGTGTGCTCGCCAGACAGACAGACAGAGACAGAGAGATAGAAAGCAAGAAATCACCTCCCAGGGGGGATGGCCACGCTGCAATCCCTTCTCCTCCATTCTCCTCTCGGGATCTTGGGCACGCACACACACACGCCCGGCGTGAGTTTAAGCCACCAGGTCCAGGACTCGAACCATGGTCGACTACATGGGAGTCCAGCGACATAGCCATTACGCTAACTGCTGGTCCCTTTTTTAATTTTTTTTTTTTTAGGTTTTTGCTATAGGGTGTGTGTGAGGGAGGGAAAGTGAGAAATCACCCCCAGGGGGTAGCCATGCTGCAATCTCGTCTTTCATTCTCCTCTCAGGATTTCGGGCATGTACACACACATGCTCAGCATGATTTTCAAGCTGCCAGGTCTGAACCCCAGTTGGCCATGTGGGACTCTCGTGCCTTAATCAGCACACTACCTGACTGGCCCCTTATTCTGTTTTTACCTCCACCCAACTCCCAGCTAGACTGTATGCGTGGAGAACTGGGAACATGTCTGCTTTCCTCATTATCAGGTATCTGGTGCTTACCAAGCAGAATGCTAGCATCCAGTAAGTAAAAATCAAATTTAAACTGAGGTAAGAATATGCTATAAGAAAATTGGGCAAGAAAAAAAATTAACAACAGACCTCTATTACTTACAATATATCTTAAGTATTAAAGTTACTTTCATAATACTAGAATTAAAAGCTGAACTCTGAAGTAGAAGACTCACTGAAAGAAGTAGTAATTTCTTTTTTTTTTTTTGGAGAGGTTTTTGCTATACGGCGCGTGCACTTGCCAGAAAGACAGAAAGAGACAGAGAGACAGAAAGCGAAAAATCACCCCCAGGGGGGATGGCCACGCCGCAATCCCTTCTCCTCC